CGACTGTGTTCTTCCACAACCAGGCACTGCACAATATTTTGCGATCTTCAACGGCATGTTTATTGCTTGGTTGCTTGATCCGGTTTAGCGCCACTTATGTTATTTCCCTACTATGTCATGTGCGAATCAGTGGGTGGGGCTACAGAATTAGGCGTTGATATTCTTCTGTGGAGGCGGAGTTTAACCTATCTATTACACCATGGGTAGGCACATTCCAGGATCTGGCGTTCGCTAGGCCTGGTGTCAATAAAAGCTTTTATTTCAGTAACAAGGACGTTTTCAGTTCTGAAACGTACAGTATATTCTTTTAGTACGATGACCTCTTATAGATCAAAAGCTCAAGTAAAAGTTGATTTCTCAATTCATGACCCCTTTAATGCATAGTATCTACTCTCCTCAAGTAATTGGGGCAGGAACATGGCACAGAGGAGAAAAGGCAGACACCACTATCCCACAGGAATTTGAAGCACTGCCTGAGGAAGACTATGCAGTCGTGATGGATGAGCATAATTATCCAAACCTACACAACCTCACCCAGTTTACTGCTCAGACCTTGCAGCAAGTTGCTTGATGTTGTAAATAATTGTTTTATGGCACTTTTTTACTACTTTACCAACAAGAGGAAGGGCTCTTGTCTAGACTTTAAAGGCCTCTGTTTTATGAGACAGTCCAAATGGTTGGAATTCACTTCCCTGCAACAAAGCAGGTGAGATTTGTTTGGACGCTCTAACATCCAACCACAAATCTCCAAAGACTGATGATATGAGGTACAACATCCTCATATTCTGCTTTATCTTATTTATTCAATTCAGCCAGCGCGATATCCCTGCTCCCTGGGTCACTGTGTACACTAAACACGTTGTGCCCCTATAGATTTAAAAGCACATTGTGAGCTATAACAAATTCATCCTATTCTTCCACCTGGAGCTGAAATAACCATTGACTCTTATATAGACTCTCCTAAATCTCCAGAATACCTTCCTGCCTGGCTCACTTGGAATGTGTAGTGGAAAAAGTCATGCAGACCTCTCAAAAAGAGAAGGTAGAAGCTCACAGGCATAGCCTAGGAGTGTCTAATGGGGCACTGAGATCAAAGAGACCGACCTTACGAAACAACAAATGAAAATGGCTCCAGCGAATTAGCAACCTATTAATTGCCCCTGAGTCACACAATTTGATCGAAAACATGTTACATATTATCAATTTATCAAAAATAAATAAATAAACTAAAAAATAACACCCTCATGCAAGGCTCCTGGACTTCAAAAGGAATTCATTTAACAGTGATACAGCAAGTTGCTTTGATCCATTGTTGCAATTACTGAGGGAAGCGAAAAATAAAAATCTTACCAAACAGAAAGTGTTACAGAATACTGACTTACAGTCATCCAGAACACTGAACTGTGTGGGAAAATTGTGGGAAAGACTGACCCAAGGAACAAGTTTATAAAGTACAACAGTACAACAAATCCCACCACAGCATACTATGCTAAACTACGCACACACACACACACACACACACAAACTCACACAATGTAACATTCCCACACATGCTTCCACTGAATTTACACTTTGTTCCAGTTTGACTGATGTGAAGTAAGAGTAACATTTTACAGTGGTTTGAATGTTTTCTTATCCAGAAAAGTGAAAACTATGCTGACCTCCTTCCAAAAGTGTCTCTTTATCTGTCTCTTTCTCCTCTCTTTACATCACACCTAAATCCCTAGAGGAGTGTCCCTGTCAGAATGGAGGGGTTTGTGTTGATGTGAATGGCACCTGTGAATGTCCAACAGGCTTCACTGGACTCTACTGTCAGTTTGGTATGTATTAACTGCAAACAAATACAGATTTTTTTTTCCCAAAGACTTTATCAAACTAAAGGTACTGTATGGGATGTCCATTTTTATATGCAGTGTGTTTTTAGGACAATAATCCTAATTTATGATTTCTGATAAAACAGCTTCTCTTGTTTCTACTGTTTAAAGGTTACTTGAAATGTTGATAGAAAAGATACGTGTTCCAAATTCAGGAAGTGCTTTTTCATTTTCAGGCCAAACACTTAGGCCCAATCCCAATTCTACCCCTTAGCCCTTTCCCCTTTCCCCTACCCCTCCGTTTCGCGCGTTCACGTGAAGGGGTAGGGGTGTCTCAATTCTCTTTTGGTTGGAGGGGTAGGGGTAAGGGCCAGATAGCCATTCAAATGAAGATTTTTCGAGGACCACACTTCAAACGAAGGAGTATGAATTATCTCAGCGTAAACCGGCTTCAGCGGCAACATGGCTGCCCGAGCGAACAAAAAGACAAATAAATGTAAGCATTTTTGCCATTAATATGTGTGTGTGTGTGTGTGTGTGTGTCAGTAAGCAGCGCATTGATATAGAATGGTAATTAAAGGCTCTAATGCACACCAGTATAGGTGTGTGTATTGTAGGAGCTAGACGACGTATAATGACGTGTGACGTATAGTAGTGGTGTCCCAATTCTTAGGGGAATATTTTTACCTCTACCCCTTGACACTCTGTTTCAAGGGACAAGGGGAAGGGGAAGGGGTATAAAATAGAATTGGGATTGGGCCTTAGCCTTACATGTCAGTTACATATCCGTTAAACACAAGTAATTGACAAGTGACTATTGAGGAATTGTTCCGTCACCAAAGCTGTCCCACCACTAAAGCGTGGTTTCTCTGTCCTATGTACAGTTAGCTAAACGTGGAACAGTTTGTAATTATACCGTACTAAATTATGTATTTTTGAAAATTCACCAAATTGAGAACCATTTGGCCTCATGTTGGAAAAATACTAAAAGTGTCTGTCAGTCAAAAGGTACATGCTTTATTGATTACCAGAGAAAATTGTATCCATCTGAAGAGTGTGGATCTGAACCTTTTATTCAACAAAAATGTTTCAAAAGTAGTAGCACTGCACACATATTTGTATAACAATTAATATCTGTAATATTTTGTTTTACTCTTTAGAAGTAACACAAACCCCCTGTAGTAACAACAGACCGTGTCCAGATGGAGGTCCATGCTTAGAGTATGGTGGCACGTACCTCTGCACCTGCCAAACTGGTGTTGACTTTGATCACAAGGATTTCTACCCATATGGTAAGAGCCCTGGAGAACCTTGAAGCCATGTGCTAAGCATGGTTTCCATGACAAATGAACAAATACTGTGCCAGGTCGTCAGGATGGCAAAGGTACTCAAAGCAACTAAGGCGTTATATTGAGTAAATGAGAAAAGAAAGATTTATTTGTATGCTGACAATGTGAAGATAATGTTTCAACTTGGCTATTGAAATGCACAGAGGATCTATGCTATGGTGTGCATTTAAATGAAATCATTCCAACACACTCAAATAAAAGTTACTAGTGAACGTTAAAAGACGATCACCTGCTGTGAAGGAACGTGGTGAAGGTGAAGGTGTGTGTGTTTTTCAGTACAGCCCCGATCAGCCTGCGATTCCACACCGTGTCAGAATGGAGGGTATTGCTATGAGAGAGACGGAGGCTACATTTGTGAGTGCAAGCACGGCTACAGAGGAGAGCATTGCGAAAGAGGTATGTTACATCTGCTATCCGTGTTAACATTTTGTCCTTGCATGCTTACATATTAAAAGGTAGTCACATCCACAGAAGTTCAATCATTGTGCATCATGTTGTTTAAAGGCACAATATGTAAGATTTTTTAATTAAAATATCCAAAAACCACTAGAACAGTGTTATATATTTTGCTGACTTGTGTACTTACATTATCCCAAATGTTTCGAAGAATGTTTAAATCCAGAGAAATAAGCAATTTTAACTAGTGACACGGGCCGTGGCTATGGTGTCATTGTGTCGCCTGCCAATGACGTCATAACCCTTCGATTTCCAGTTTTGTTTTGTAGAAAACATGGAAAAACCAAAGACGCTTTAATATG